GAGGAAGATAAAGCGAGTGTATCCAGTTATAGCTCTGAGTGCCACCCTTGCCCAACCATGCCATCTCCAATTTTTATAGATGGTACATAGAGGAATCATTTTCTGGGATCAGTGATGATACATCTGATACAAGTAGCATAAATGAACAGTGTTAGCGGCTTCCAAGGTGGTGTTTTCCATAGATATTTTCCAGAATAGCTGAATCTCTTCCAGAATGACTGACACAAACTCCTGATTGACTGAATCTCTTCCAGCGAGGGACGTTACAAAGCGATATTTTCATAACTACCCTACAAATAGATCTTTTCCTATAATCTTTTCAAGACTAGCTTACGCTTCACAAGCTTGGCTACATACCACCTACAGGTATTAACGCCAAGAGTGTACGTGAGTGCGTTATTTGCAAGCACACACAACGTAGAACAGGAAGCGAAAATCTGTTTTTACCTGGTGCATCGAGAGCAAAGTCACGCTGTGTACCATGGACTGCTTCATTGATTATCACTCACTCCTGAAGTACCGAGTATGTAATAATGTGTGTTACTGTGTAAATAGTGTGTGAAACTGTACATACAATATTGTAATTTTAGTGAATTTTTAACAAGAAATATTGCGACAATAAACATTTATTGTGGACACATTATTGACACATGTATCACAGTTCCATGGAACATTATGAACATTCTACTGTATACATATTGTAAAGAACACAAATATGCATCATATACGATAAAAAAATTAATAAAACTGCATTGGAAATACACAAAAACAAATAATTGAAAATATATTTGTGACAACTTGCGGTGCTTGAATAGCGCGCCCGACCGCCACTGGGAGCTTCGTGCACGGGTGACCAGCCCGTTTCGCCCCCTTCTACATGCCCCCACAGCCAAAGTAGGTGGAATTTTTTTTTTTTTTTTATGTGTACGTGATCAGGGAAGGGAATTTATCATTTTACAAAGATAAAAAAAAATTGTGAACACTTGATTTTATGCGCACGGGAATGTCATAATAAACTCGACGCATCACAGTGGTTAAATCATTATACCATTATGAAGTATTTCTTTAAATCCACTTGCAGGCCTTATGCCTTATGTATTCAGTTCATAGCTTTTCTGAGTGCTTTTTCTACTAATCTCTCATGAATTATTTAAACTGTGAAATTTAACATCCACAATTAGATACAGTATATGTAATTTGTATTGATACTCCTCTTCCATTAGTCAGGATTGGAAGCATATATACTCCCTTACACACTTGGAAACATATCTGCTTTCATAATTCGTCTTATGGATGCTATCACATACTTTCACAATTTATTTTTCCTTAATATCACTTTCATTGTATGTTGTTCACATGTATAAGCATATTTTGTTAATCACACACAATCATATTTGTCCTTATTTTTTTACCTTGCTATTCTTCGATCAAATTTACTTTTGATGGTGTTATTCAATAAATTCAATTTTAATAATAAAAGGATAGACTGGGAGAAAATAAACAGGGAACTTACAAACATTCAATGGGAAACGGTTCCAAGTAATAAAAACCCTACACAAGGAATAGAACAACTGACCTCTGAAGCATATAAAGTCTGTCTGAAACATGTTCCTTCGAGGAAAGAAAGAAAGAAAGAGGTCAAACGTAGAAAGAGAATGCAGAGGACACTACAAAAGGAAAACAATAACCGAAATGCTTAAGCAGACACAACTTTCCCTACAAAGAACAAATAATTTAAACAGGGAGATTGAAGAAATGTAACTAGAACAGAAAGCAATACAAGAAATAAAGAAAAACCCAAAATATTTCTTCACATATGCAAAATCAAAAGCAAAAACCACTGCCCGTACTGGACCTATTCGTATGAGTGAAGGTTCATACACTGAGGATGACAAAGAAATTAGTGAAATCCTAAAAAATACTGGATGAGGACATGTTTAGCAATCCAATAAACAGCATGAAAGTGGAAGATCTGGACAATTTCTTTGTGTGATATCCGAACCCCTGTAAATATAACTGATATCAACACGGGCGTGTCAGATTTTGAAAGAGAAATTGACAACATGCCCATGTACTCAGCCCCGGGTCCAGACTCACGGAATTCAATATTTATAAAAAAATGCAAAGTGCCAGTAGCATAGGCACTCAGTATAGTGTAGAGGAAGAGCTTGGAGAGCTTGGAGATACTAGATGTGCTTAAACAGTAGACATAGTCCCTCTACACAAAGGAGGGAGCAAAGCATTGGCTATGAATTATAAACCAGTTGCATTAATGTCCCACATTATAAAATTATTTGAGAGAGAGATCAGGAGTCAGGTCACCAGTTTCATGGAGACCAATGACCGTCACAACCCAGGCCAACATGGATTTAGAGCGGGAAGATCATGCCTCTCACAGCTACTTGACCACTACGACAAAATCACTGTTTTTCTTCTAATGCCTCAGTGCAGATATGGTATACACGGACTTTGCAAAGGCATTCAATAAATGTTACCATGGAGTGATAACACACAAAATGAGCTCAATGGGAATAACTGGTAAAATAAGACGTTGGATACTCAATTTTCTGTCGAACAGAACACAGAGAATAAGTCGTTGCAATTAAAAGTCAGTCCAAGCACCGTTAAAGCACTGTACCTCGGGGTACAGTCCTTGCACCACTATTTTTCCTTAGTCTCATATCAGATATATACAAAAATAAAAGTCACAGCTTCATATCATCCTTTGCAGATGACATGAAAATCAGCAGGAAAATTACCTCTGCTGAAGACATTGGAAAAATTACAAGCAGATACACGCAGAAATCACAATAGCGTGAAATATCAAATGAACAAATCCACAAGGGTCATGATGATGAGGTTGCACTTCTTTCCATGTCGTGGCACAGTTGACGTAAGACGCATCTGGAAACATACCATGCATAGGTTCGAACCCTTATCACAGCCCTTGTGGATTTGTACAAGCAGATATAAAGTTTTTGACTGGGCAGCAGAAAATAACATGATGTTTAACAGTGATAAATTCCAGGTACTCAGCATGTAAAGCAGCACGTGAAGGATCTGGGAATAATGTCTTGACGACCTAACGTTTAGGGAGCATAACCAAGCAAATATTGCTTCAGCCAGAAAAATGATAAGATGGATTACAAGAACTTTCAAATCCAGGGATGCCATCACATTGGTTGTACTATTCAAATAACTTGTACTGTCTCGTTTTGAGTACTGCTCAGTATTCACTTTCCCGTTCAAAGCAGGAGAGATTGCTGAAATAGAGGGAGCACAGAGAACATATACAGCTTACATACACGATAAAGCACCTAAATTATTTTGATCATCTCGAAGCTCTCTAAATGTACTTACTAGAAAGAAGACAAGATATAATATACACATGGAAAATACTGGAGGGTCAGGTCCCAATTCTACACAGTAAAATAACAATATACTGGAGTGAATGATATGGAAGAAAATGCAGAATAGAACCAGTGAAGAGCAGGGATGCCATAAGCACAATGAGTACTGTATAAACATCAGAGGTCCACTGTTGTTCAAAATACTCCCAACAAGTATAAGAAATATTAGCGGAACAGCCGTGGATATCTTCAAGAGAAAGCTAGATAGTTTTCTTCAAGAAGTGCCTAACAAAACCGCGCTGTGGTGGGTATGTGGGCCCTGTGGGCCTGCAGGCCGCTTCAAGCAACAGCCTGTTGGACCACGCTCTCACAAGTTGAGCCTGGCCCCAGGCCGGGCTTGGAGTTGAACTACTCCCAGAACCCTGTCAAGCAGGTACTTCAATAAACATGCTTCACCACTCATTATTCATTTGCTAAACACATGTAGAACATTGTAGTGCGCCCTCCTTAATTTTAAGAGTCTCACAATTCACACTTCATTTCTTTTCAAAACATTAGTTCTAGTTTTATTATTACCTGACCACACTTGTACCATACCATTGTTTCATACCTTTACATTAGTTTTAGAACCAATATTTTTGTCTTGCAAAAGCGAAGTTCATTCCTTTGTATTTTGTTCTTCCTTGCTGGGGCTTTTAACACTTTCGCCCGGGCATGACGCAGCATTGCGTCATCCGTTTACTGACGGTAATTCCGGGGATGACGCAGCATTGCGTCAATCACTTTAAATAATCGCCAAAAATCAGGTTTTTATCCGATTTTTTTGGGACTGGTTTTAAAATGCGCGCCGATGTCTTCCCATTTTCTTTGTTGAGCCTCGTGGCCCTCAGGCGGCTTAGCACACGCCGTGGGCCCATTGTTTTCGCTCCACTGTTGTGACCAATGTCGCTTCATCTCGCATCTCAAACGTGTGAACATTTCGGCTATTTTCCGTGGCTATATTTCTTACTGCGGCTTTAGAAACTATCTGCGCTTACTCCACGATGGATAGTGATCATGAACAAGGCCCTTCCAGGAAGAAAATTGCGAAAGAAAGGCTTGAAAAGGGCGGGAATTGGGAGTGTAGCTGGAAGGCATCTGAGCGCTCACTTGCGGCTAACGCGTGGCCCGTCTTCAACTCGTCGGCAGTTGGAGTGTGACCAGGTTTTTTATTTTATATGCTAATGTTCCTCTAGAGAATTCTATTGCGAACCCATTGAGACCAAAATGAAAGACCTAGGACAAAAATTGAGGTGACCAGAGTGAAAATAGTGAAAACATTTTATCGCGTTTGCGCGCTCCTGGGTAACTCGTTCGCACTTTCTCTGTTTGCTGCGGGTAATTAGCCGGGCGTTTGGAGTTTATATGCATTTAGTGCTGTAGAGAATTCTATTGCGAACACAATGATACCAAATTTAATCTCGTAGGATGAGAATTAAGGTGACAAAGTTGAAGAGAGTACAGTATACACTTTTCAGAATTTACGCACGCTCCCGTGACACCCTGGGTCCCATATCGCACAGTTGAGGGGTGGCGCGCGGGGTACGCCAAAGTGTTAATTCAGCAGACCTGATTTGCTCTACTTGCATCTTGCACAAATTCCTATTATGAGCATCATACCTCGGGGGCTTAATCTCTATAGAGATTTCAATTAGTCTCTACAACTTGTATATTCATGAGAACACATTTTTGTTTTATTTTAGTGCAAGTATAAAATATGTTTTTTGTAATGTTGACAGTGTTGTGAGGAGTAAATCTAGCAAACGTCGACGGTCTCGCAGCCCAG